ACAGTGTTATTTTTCCAAAAAGCTGTTTTTATATATTTGTTCAAGAAGCAACATAATAATCTTAGACGGTAATAATCTTCTAAACTACTTATCTCTGCACCTCCCAATTTTTACTAATACGGACTTTCAGTTTATATATGTATCACGTACCGTACTTTTTTGATTGTTTGATACTAATTATCGACATTTCTAAATTACTTTACTATATAAGGCTATCTTTCGTGTCATATACGTTAAAATTTATACAACTTGCTCCTTTATATTCTATTTTGCCTCCACACAGATACTGACATAAATACTTCATCTCCACTACTATCTTCTTGCCATTGTCATCTTTTGTTTTTAACACCACTAATCCTCACGATACATTCACTCTTGGTTAAAACATAGATTTTGATTTTTAGACTAACTTGAGCCCTCGGAATTGATTTTTTCACCCCTATTTCCAACATTCTGTTCAATCCACTTGCTATACGTCACTTTCTTATCATGCCACAAAAGGAAATGAAGACCCCTGCTCCTAGGCGTTCAGCCAAACGTAGGAAAACGACACAATTTAACACCACTACTGACACGATTTCCAACAGTTTCAACGAGACGAGCCACTCCGTTCATCCGGAAGCAGACAAGCCTTTACCAGTTGTCTCCATTCCAGACATGTTGAAAACTCTGATGGTAAACAGTGATGATAATCGCAACTGCAACCATATGGATGCTGTAAAAAAGTTGCAAGTAGACATGAACATTCTCAATCCGCTTGAATATCTCATCAACCCCAACCTCACAGAGACTCCAGATCAAATGAATGACATGAATATTTTCCTAGATCGTGTTGCATCAAAGGTATTTGAAAGAATAAGACGATCTAGCAATGCAATTGTGTTTAATATACCGGATACACATGCCCTTAAAAATATGACACACGTACCATGTGTATGCACAAGATTAAAAAGAAGTCATCCTGGTATGCACTCACCGATTTTGTTCAAATTCAACTCATCTGTAGACGCCAGTGAATTTTTAAATTCCTCCAATTCATTGAGACAAAAACAGATTTTCAAGGATATTAAGACTCTTCCGGATAAAACACCATGCCAGCGAAAAGCAGGAAGAAATAACTACAGACCATCAGCGTCAAACTCTCAAACGCATCATAATCCTAATGGTTGTAAAGTTAAGTCCGATTCTAAGAGGACGTCTAGCTTAACAACTTTGCCGCCACCGAAAAACTCTTCTGAATCTCATAAAGTTCAAAACCCAGAAGAAAGTAATCCCGATGTAGGTGGTGTCCATCCTCTTAAAAATGTTGACTTAGATTCAACCCGAAGTAGTTGTGCTGATGAAGAATGGGATAACACAATCCAAACCGCTGTTAGTGCAACACCCAGTTACAGTAACTGTGCAACGGATAACAGGAAAACTAATCATAACATTCATATAACTGACCACGCACTTAACGTTGATATATTCGAACCTCGCAAACCATCGCAAGTATGTTTAACAGTACACAATCCTCTCCAACTTATGAAGAAGCCGAAATCAACCACAAACCTTGGAAATAAACGTCTTAAACGCGTTACTCATACGTCAGGTATAAATAGTTATCTGAATTGTAATTGGCCACTTGGTCACAACCATAGACCTGATAGCCTTCTTGGTCCGGCTCCCAATATGTACAGTATGCCCTTATCAGATGTTATATCCAATAGCAATGAGAAAACTTTTTTGTAATTCCGCCGGCTTTCCTGCCGGCAACGGTAAACATATTTCACATGATGACAAAGTGGTTGAATCTATTTCCCCTCGCAACACGACTCTTACCTTAGCTAATCCTATGAGTATTCATGGAACTACCAATTGCGATTTATACTCTAACCTGCTTCACTATGATGACTCTGAGTTTCTTATTCTTTCGTTCAATGCCCGCTCTCTGTCTAATAAAATTATTCATCTTAAAACTCTTTTATTCCTTGTAAATCCAACCATTGTACTTATTACGGAAACGTGGTGTAATTCATCTATATCCGATCATTCCTTGAATGTAGATAACTACGTTTTCTTTAGAACCGATAGATGTTATGGAATATTACTTATTATTATTATCTATGTCCGTTCAGACATTCAAGCGTGCAAATTTGAGGATAAATCCCTTGATGCTATAGACGACTCCACTTGGGTTACTGTAAACTGTGGATCCCAAAATTATTTACTTGTGGGATGCATATATAGACCACCTCATGCGGATACTAAGTTTGACAAATTACTAACAAACATATTTTCCATTGCTTCGCACCAACCGCATACTTTTAAAATCATCGGAGGCGATTTTAACCTGCCAAAAATTACATGGGGCTTGACTCCGGTACCAGGTCGATATAACAAGCTAGTTGAAACATTAGAAATTTGTGGATGGGTTCAACAGGTCCGAAAACCAACCAGGGGGAATAATACACTTGATTTAATGTTCACAATCAACATAGACTCTATCTCAGTACATACCAGTCATGAGTTTTTTATGAGTGACCATAGAGTTGTATTGAGTATTATTCACTCTTTAAACGCCATACAATTGAACTCTAAAGCTTCATTGATGTACCAAAGCAGACATTTTGATCAACAAACATGGAAACGGACTGGAACTCTCATTCAATGTTTACCATGGGAAACTTATTTTACCACAAATAATGTTGACATTGCGCTTTCCAATCTATACCACAACCTGATATATTGTCTTGACTGCACTGCTCCAGTTATTGGCCGTGTGGCTTATAATGCTAATAGGGGCCAAAATACTTTTAAAAGAAAGCTGAGGAAATTAAAATGCCGCTACTACGAGCAGAATGATGTGTATGCACTTCAGAGTATACTTAAATTAATCAACAGAAATGCTTCATCTAAACGTAAGTATTTTATGAATATAGAAAATAAAGCTCTACGTAGTAAAAGCCCAGAATTATCAATACTTCGGCTTTTTAAATCCCGTGTAAAGTCAAATTCCCTTGGCACGACTAAATTCTTCATAGTTAACGGAAGCATTGTTAACGACCCGAATACTATATGCGAACAATTCAGCAAGCACTTCTCGCAGTGCTACAAAACTGGAACTGAAAACTCCATCATTACATTTCCAATGCTGACATCCAGACATCTGTCGAAAATTGATTTTACACCCTCCAACATCAAGCAGGCCATAGCTGCCCTGAAAAAGTCTTATGATGGTGGACCTGACGGGATACCTTCATCATTTGTGAAATATGGAAGTAGAGAATTTCCACTATTTTGTTTGAAACTTTTCAATCTATCTATGGAATATGGGACCTATCCATCTGTATGGAAAACATCCCTTATCACCCCTAGATTCAAAACAGGACCACGTAGTGATATTATTAACTATAGGCCAATTAATTTGACATCCGTGCTCTCAAGAACCATGGAAAAAATCATCCACAAACAGCTACTATCATTTTTACTTTCGGCTAGTCTGATCAGCCCATCCCAACACGGGTTTATGACTAAACGCTCATGTTTCACATCGCACCTGGAGTTTTTTGATCAAATTACCCAGAGAAGAGATGTTGGTCAGTCAGTGATAATTCTTTACTTCGATTTTAGTAAGGCTTTCGACAGTGTCTCACACAAACTTCTTCTTTTAAAACTCTCTTCATTTGGCATACAGAATCCCCTTTTATCTTGGCTCAAATCTTTTTTAGAAGAACGTAGCCAAATCGTTCGCTTTGGATCTTGCTACTCTAAACCTGTGAATGTAACCAGTGGGGTTATACAAGGAAGTGTGGTTGGTCCATTACTCTTTCTCCTTTTTATCAATGATGTGTGTTCCCTCTTTCAGTATGGTAAGCCTTTCTTTTTGCTGATGACCTGAAAGTAGTTTATTCATTCTCTTCTCCCACGAAAGAAAGCTATATTTCAGCGGTAATCCAAGAGGAAATAAACAAGTTGTACGAATGGACTATTTCGTGGAATATGCCACTTAATGTTGACAAAAGTGGATTTATTCACATTGGTCGCTGTCTTAACTTAAATCTGACTGTACAGACACATACACTCAAACCTCTCAACACTGTTCGTGACCTGGGTTTAAGATATAGCAACAGTCTGAACTTTTCTGAACACATTATATCTCAAGTATCCAAAGCTAGAAAGCTCATCGGATTGATAATGATAAACTTCAATAATATCGAATCGAGATTGTTACTATACAGAAAATGTATCTTACCCATTCTTGAATATGGTATTTTAGTTTACAGTAATTGTAGACATAATGACCTGATTAGAATTGAAGGTGTTCAAAGAAAGTTCACCAAAGCTGTTCTGGGGTATTCCGATAACAAAGACTATTACCAAAGATGTCAACAACTCAACTTAGAACCTCTTTGGATCAGACGTATCAAATTAAATCTTGCCCCTGAATGCCCTGGTACTGTCCAGAGTGGGGACAGTCCACTCTCCCTCTCGAAATACTCTCACACGGCCGCGCGTATACAGCCTCTGCCAGGGAAGTCCTACTCATTGCCTTCTCGTGGCGGGGGTGTTGTTTACGAAAATGAGAGGACGAAAAGCGAATGTCCGGCGCTATAACCGGATCACAAACCAATGGTGCACATGGGCTCCAGTATCCTGCGGGAACGAATGGCGTATGAACCAATCGTTGGTCACCGGCTACCATGGCACTGCATCTCCTTACGATGCTCCACTGCCTTGTGGGTTAGACCTTTAGGTCAAAGGCTCGGGGTATGGCCCCAAGATAACCACCTGCTTCGCTTTGGGCACCTGGGCAGTATCACAGCCCACACACAAATGATGAACTTTTATGTCTATGGAAATTACTTTCCTCGCTTCGAAAAACAATCAATTGGTTCAAATTATTATCATTACAATTATTGTCATTATTAATACTATCATTATTATTATTACTATTATTGTCATTATTATTATTATTAATATTATTTTCCACATTATTCACCCTCTTTTATACTTATACAGCGGCTCGTCTTTGGTGGAAATTCGACTGTATCTAAACGTTCTCGAGTCACTGTCCGGTTGAAAATTATATGTTACCACCGAATACGAGAACTGAAGCAGTTTTTCTGAAACCACGTGCACCATTCAAACTGGCTGCCTTCAACGTTCACACATTTATGCAGGTCGGACAACAGATAGGGCTGGCTATGTCTTTGGAAAGTCTTAATATTGATGTTTGTTGTCTATCCGAGACCCATATTCAAGACTCTGGCGAAGCACTACAAATTCGATCTCCATCTGTCGCTTCGAAAAGCTTGTTTTACGTGCGCTTATCCGGGGACCCTGTGGCATCTTCGTCTGGTCTTGCTGGCGTTGGTGTCGCACTAAGCGCTAGAGCTGAGGCAGCACTAGTCGATTGGATCCCCATTAACAGTCGGTTATGTGCTGTTAGATTAGAAAGTTCCATCAAAGTGAGAAGAAATCGGCAGGGTTGCCCAATTTCACCATTCCTCTTCAACTTTGCCATCGATGACATTCTGGAAACAGCTCTGATGGGTGTAAGTAATGGCGGTGTGGATCTGTTGCCTGGAGAAAGACTTCTCGACCTTGAGTATGCGGACGATATTGTCTTACTGTGCGATAATGCCCAAGGCATGCAATCCGCACTTAATCAGTTGGCAATCAGTGTCCGTAGGTATGGTATGTGCTTTGGACCTTCGAAGTGCAAAGTACTTCTACAAGACTGGCAGGATTCTAATCCTGTACTCACGTTGGACGGTGAGCAGATAGACGTAGTTGAGAAGTTCGTGTATCTGGGTAGCTGCATAAGTGCTGGTGGGGTGTGAGTGATGAGATCAATGCACGAATAGTGAAAGCCAGAGCGGCTTATGCCAATCTGGGCCACCTTTGGCGCCTTCGTGATGTTAGTCTGGCTGTAAAATGTTGGATCTACAGCGCGTCGGTGAGAGCAGTTTTGCTCTATGCTTGTGAAACCTGGTCTCTTCGAGTCCTTTGAAATCAATTTTGACTTTCATAGTATCATTCTTAATTATTATTGCATAAATATTTATACTAATATCCGGTTTCACTCTGTATACTATTACATAAATCTAAATGTACTCATCCGAGTGCTTCGGAGGATTTTTATTTTATTTTTCTCAATTGCTGGTTTCCTTCTGAGGTTGCTATTCATTACACAATTATTATTCTTATCATGGATCAAAACTTTTCACCAAGTGTTCACTTCTCTTGTCTCTCTACTTTCCCTCTAAATAAATCTTATTCTTAAGATTACGAAGTTTGTAATAAAGACAATAACTTGTGTTACACTTAAATTAACTTGTCAGACTCGTTTTATCTTCACTATGCATATAGGACTACTGATACTTATTGATATTTCATTATCTTTTTCACTCAATTGAGACTTTCATCGCATCACTCCAAGCTATGTGACTGCACAAACATTTATATTCTAGCGTCATATCTTACTGCAATTATAAGTTATTTTCTTGTTACTAATTTAATGATACACACATAGTCGTTTATTCTTGTTCTGTGTTCGTAAACACGCCTATTAGACTGTTTGCGTATTTCACGTCTCCTTTATTTCTATTCCTTTATTTTCTCCATTTCCTTCTTTAAACTCAATTCAACATTCTTCTCAATTGCATAGACTCGATTTATTATTATTAATTGTCTACTATTATTGCTCTAAATTTTTTTTATTTTTTTAAATGGCAAGTATATTGCTGACATTATTGAAAAGTGTGTATTATTGCATGTTTTGAAGAAATTCGAAATGGTTTCTTCACAACACTTATGTACCCATAAGATGTTTGTGAATAATAATAATAATAATAGTAACTATCTAGTCGTTGATTGCATTGTTAGTCGATGTATATTCACGTTGTATTTAGATAGAGCTAGATGTTTCAACAAGTTTATTCCACAGAAACATATAAATGCTATGAAAGTTTGTTAATGAATTATCAAAGTTAATTGATATAGATAATCGGTGATTGGTATCGATTGAGTGAGTATGTTATAAGTAATAATCAATATAACATTACGATAATACATGTTAGCATTAATCAGAGGACTATTAGAATATTGGGTTAACATAAATATAAAATCGATCGACAAGGTTAAAGTGGAAATAAGGATTATTGGTAATAGGTTGCGTTTCTTTAGTCGGGCTTATCAATGTAGAATTATGGTCTACTATGATATTAGTACTGCTTTAATAATAGACGTAATCCTAAAATTGTAGATTTGTCATGATATAACTGCCTAATCTATAAGATCTTACGTGGAAGTCACATCATCGTCTACACCAACTCACTGTATCGTAACAACTACCAATACATGATGAAGAACAAGCTTAGGCTAGAGAAAGAACAATATATTTATTATGAATAAAAGATATAAGGTAATATTCAGAGGGACCACACCTGCATGGCTGAGCCATGCCATCCGAATAACTTTAATTCCTTGTTCGCGCCTTCCCCACCGTTAGGTATTCCTCCACGTTGAATATTGAATATCTATTTTCCGAGTAGTCTCGTGTTCAGCTTTGAGAATTGTGTGATTATGGTCCAATGCCACTACACTACTCTCCCACCAGAATCAACGTGATGTTGGTTCGATACCGAATTGGATGGGATTGTCGTGCGCTTAAGGTTACCAAGACTAGTAAGAATCCTCCGGGTAATGATAAGCTGAAAGATAAATCAAAAAGAAGGCGGCAACATCTGGTCGGGAAATATTTGTAATAATTTTAAAATACCTGCCTTCATGCTTAACACGCTTAAAATGAAAATTTGGGTGAAGATTATTTGAGCTATAGAAAATGGGATTACAATAGTAATGATAATAAAACGATGCGTGTTAATAGCCGTTGGGTTAATAACTTAACTCATACGTGGTGTGTATTTTGTGTTTAGAAATATTAAAAGTAATCAGTATTGTAGAAATGTTACTATTAGTATTAGTTTTGGTTTAAATTATGAAATCGGATAACGATTATGCCGGTAAGTTGTCCATATGAGTTGACTTCCAATTGCATTTGTATTAGTCGGCTAACTGAAGGAACAAAAGTATTACCGTGGAGCAGAATTCCAAGTAGTGTTCCATTTAGTTTGATACGGTTTATTTAGTCACGGGGAGATTTTCTCAACCTCATTTTTACTTGACCGTGATAGAATTTAATAATACTACTAATACACATGAATGGTTATTAAAACAAAATTTAAATACGTGAATGATAATTATATGAATTTTGGACAGATAGCTAAGAACAAATCGTTAAACATGAGTGTATTCGTAAGAGACATACTCTAGACTCAATGTTCTGAGTTGCCATAGACTATTTATACATATTTATACCTGACCGCTGATGATGCATACAAGTTAGTTGCAAGTATGCAGTTTATCATAAGGCGGAATACGATTCAATTGAGATATAGTGATTATAAGTTACTGAAATCAGTTAAGTCTATATACTACATTACTAGGTGATGTGCTGCAAGATGTATTCAGCTAAATAAGTTTTTACAAGATAATTAACAGTGAGTGACGCTCATGTGATTATCAGGGAGGAAACAAGTTGTAACCAAGGGGAGTACACTCCCAACTCAAGTCTAAGATAATGACTTGAACCTTAGTCAGTGTTGGGGTAAATTCGACATTAATGTTTTCAGTTTGCAGGAGATTTGCTCGACTGCTTATACTGATTATTTGCATGCATGATTGTGTCGCTAAACCATCAATTAGACTGACAAGGTTTTGAGATATTTACTGAATGAGCAACTGATAGAGAAACATACTGTAATCATCTGCAGTGAATGAAGATAAAAGAAAAACAACACTAGTGATAATTATAAGTCAGTTCGCTGAACGATTTCATTAATTTCATCAATCATATTACGTGATTGTCAAGTCGTGACAATCACTTTATGACGAAATCCTGAAACTATTATGTTTGACTAGTTATAGTGTTGATTGAGGATTAGCCAGTGGAAAAATAGGTATTGTTGCTTTAGGTGATTCGAAATTATCAGAAATTTGTAGCGTTAAAGAATCAGATCTACCTTTCTATATTATAAATTTTAATTCGAAAGTATTCGTCAAGCGTTAATTTTAGTAGGCTCCAGAGTTTTCATGTTAAACATCTATTTAGCCAAAAACTACCTGAGAATTTGATTATTTGACTAGTGTAGTTGATAGTCTCTAAATTTCTAATTCTATTATCTAAACTAGGTCCGCATTTTAGGCTGCTAATATGATAAACCAATCCACAAACCCAAATACAATCAGCAACAACGACTATGATGGGTTTATTGATAAATGTTAAAGGCGATTCAGATGATTTCTAAATTTAAAAGACATGAAGCCCTTACCTTCGTTTTAAGGGTGTGGCCTCTGAGTTTAAAATAGACATCAAATATTCTTATAATCTGAGATGTTATCATTGGCGATATTCATCCAACGGTTGATCTTTTTCTAATCTATGAAGTTGCAATTTCTTGATTTAATAGTTGTGAATAACAGTTGCAACTTCATACGTGTTTGTTTTTCTCTTGATGATTATCAACCATACATGTTTTCTGTTTTTCTTCAATTTACATAAGGAATAGGATGAGTCCATTGTCTCCACGATGTTCTTATATTCCAAAAGAAAAATCTCCACATTCAATATCTAGTCTTGATGAAAATGAAATAGATGAAGTTCGAAAGAAGTTAGATCATCTTCAATCATTACTAATACAAGTTAAAAATCAACTCAATTCTTCACCCAATGATGAAGATGATGATGATAATATGATTGATGAAAGAATCTTTCCAAATACTTCAACTGAAGTGAATCTTTTACAGACTACTGAAAAGAATACCGAAGAAAATGGAGAAAAGATTGATGATTCATGTCAAAATTTGCCTAATTATGCTACATTTTCAGTGAAACAATCACATGAATATGCAGTGAGAAATTGGTTACTATCAAATTTTAATTCATATTTAACTACTTATATCGATAAAAGTAGTTAGAAACAATTGTGTGAATTAATTTCTATGACATGAAGATCAAGTTTGTCTTTATTTCTTTTTAAATAAGTGTTTTCTTAAAATATCATTCATCTCATCATAATTAGCATTGGTATGTATGACGTCCATCGTATCAGTGTTCATCTTAACTTTGCTCTTTAATGTTAATTGTAGAATGTTTCTGGAAAGATTTATTGATTTATTTAGATATTTATGAGTGTAGACTAAATCGATATTATTGGATAATGTGGTAGATTCTACGTGAACCAAGAGCTTCTTAACCCAAACGAATAAACTCGGAATGTAATTAGACAAACTTTATCATAGTTACTGTTCAGTCCGTCAGACAGTCAGTCAGTAACAAGGTAGAATTTCGCACGTACATTAGTTGACATACCACATCAGCACACAGATACAATTGTCCATTCAAATCCCATAGTAGTAGAGGTAGTAAAAGTACAAGCAGCAATCGGAAACATTAGTAATTGATGTTATTCAATATTCCTGGAGATCACTTTCAATCCTAGTAGCTCAATATCAGCTTCTTTGACTGATATTAGGTAATATGGGTTCAATGTACTCAGAGAACGTCAATCCGCTCATGATTACAGATATGTCATACTGTCAAGTTCTACATATTATAAGTAGTTGGGTAATCACGGTTCCCTACCGATTGGCCCCTTCCATTTGACATAAATAAATGATAAATCCATACACATCATATTTAGTGAATTTCGAACCAATTAGGAAAGTTGTGCAATACTCCTGAAAGATTTTGTATGGAAATTATACTGTAGTTACATAAAAAGTTAGTGACATATTTTCACGATTAGATAACTATAATGAATAAGAGATATGTTGATATGGAGAGCTAATCAGAAGTAGTCTAAGGCCAATATCAACCGATGGCAATCACAAGTGACCTGAAAGACATTTTCATTTCATTGTCTGTGAAATGGATCAATTTCTTAAGGATTAGAGTGGTATATATATAAGAATGAGTACTGATGATAGTTTTTCTTGATTAAAAAGCAGCATTTGACTCTGTGGATCGAGAGGTTCTGTGACAGTGTCTATCATTGAAAGGCTCACATCAGAAGCACATAAACCTTGTGAAGGCTCTTCACTCGAACACTACTAGTGGAGTCAGAGCTTATGGCTAACTGTCATCTGACTTTGCAACATCAAGTGGTTACTGTGAAGGCCGTCCACTTTCTCTATTTTTGTTCAACTTCATCATAGACCTACTGATGAAAATAAAGCTATCGTCGACTGAGTTCTCGGGCACTGATCTCCTTCCTAGAGGTTCACTTATCGACTTACAGTACGCAGATGATATCGTCCTGTTTGGTGAAATCACTTGTTGATTCTAAACGAAATGAACGAGCAAACGGCGATCGTTCCACTGAGATAAGAGATGTAATCAGCAGTCCGTTTCTATGAATTTATCTGGACGGTTGTCCAGTGCTTCCAGGATTTCAATGGTCGTCTAACATCAATTGGTTCATGATCTAAATCAAAATATACTGATAATTTCTCTTCACAGACTGTCACCCGATGTAGAAACGCGCAAAACCGAAGTTCGCAAATCAACGATTTGTCTGCAATAGCGGTTCTTTATTAAATAATACACAACATTTACTTACAAACATCAACTTGTGAGGTGTCTGGGGCGTTTAAACGCGTCGTTCAACAATGAAAATAACAAAGGCTTCCTGTAAGAGTAACATAAAGAATAATTGTAACATACGATAGTACAAAGGACAGCTGATAGCTGTGACTATATTTGATAAATGTTTATCAACAACCAAAACCCGAACGAAGAGCAAACAATATGGAAACTGTTGCGTTTAAACAATTGCACAAAACTGCGGATAACCGCCGCAGTGATTAAGGTACAGTAATTATAATGATAAATACAATAAACGTTATAAGTATGTGTGAACATTTCAGAATATTACAGTACAATTTGCGTTACAATATGAGTGTGAAAATTGTCCGGAATACAACTGCTTACTGAATGTAGATAAGTAGTATACTACAGTATACAAAAGAGTAGAAGGGGAACATGAAGGAACAATGTAAAACAAACATGACAACATCTTTCGTGTTTTCAATAATCTTTCAACTGATTTCAATCATATCTTCATGAAAAGTTATACAATCTCCTCTATCCAGTCATATATCGAGCATTATCAGTATGGGGTTGTGGAGATTATTAAGCTTTTGATTGAGATCATGAACTGATTATGTTTGACCATCACCAACAGAACTGGACGGTCGTCCAGTGCTTCCAGGATTTCAAAGGCCGTCTAACATCATTTAGTTCATGATCTCAATCAAAATACATCGATAAGTTCTGTACACAGACTGTCAATTCGAACGATTGATTTAACTTGAAATGAATAAAGAGACTGCTTGTTTTTGACTAACATTTCTAATGAAATACCATTCTACGTGGGTTTCACTTTCCCATAGACTAGTCACTACACAATCCTTCTATTCTAGACATCTACTTCTCGACTTATACGATTTATTACACTAACAGAAGAATAGGAGGATGAATGATAAAGATTGATTTCTGTTGTGACTTTATGATCCGCTTGTTATCAGGTAATCTATTCGCCAATCAAAATACGACTTATTCGCTCTTATACTGTACTAAACCAATGACGTTCGACCGGTCTAATCAGCCTAGCGTCCTAATGGTTCGGTGCTCGCCTAGCCCGTCAACTTGAGTTCAACAACAGCCTCTACTATGCGAATCATGTATTTCAGACATACTGGGTTTATATACCAGCCAAACAGACTGCTACGCAGCATGAAATAGGAAATAACATTCATACACATTAACGCCAAAATGTGGCTGTGAACGTGGGAGACGGTAAGTAACAACTGAACGTAAAATAAGAACAGTAAAACACATACTAATAATCTTTAGGTTAAAATGAAGCTTATAATAAGAGGAATATAGATATACACAGTCTAGTTACTGAATATTTATACCATAAGAATATAAAGATAATATTAGTCCATTGATAGGTCTCAAACGTTACTCCTAATTCAATCTTCACCAGGATATAACAATTTCCGTGTGTTTTTTGGTCTTGTCTTCATCTGCTCCTTTGGCCTTGAGGATTCCAAGTGAGAGCTTTCCTTGTGACGCAGTTGTCGGCTTTCCCAAATGTGTGTCCTATCCATTTCCAGCGCTTCTTCCTAATTTCTTTCTCCACTGGGATCTGGTATAGAATAGTTAATTTGAGAATATGATTGATACATTTGTTTCAAACTACGAAAGGTATCTATTGTGGCATTTTTTTATGTGATTCAGAAAAGGAGATTTTCTTTAATAACGATGCAGTTTACCAAAGGCGATTCAGGTAAGAAAATTTTCTATACAATCCTATGTATAGTTAATACTAGTAGTCTATAATAAAGTAGAATGATGTTGAATAATGAAAAAAAAACAACTTGAAGTGGTGCTTTGACATGAATGTGTTGAATTGATCCAGGAAATTTTTTTGCAAAAGGCAAGCAAGCATCAGAAAACGCTAAGAAGCGTTTCATTCAATCAGTGTTCACTTGACGTTTTAGCCAAAAATATCATGGAAGTGAAACGTCACGTGCAGAGGTACTGATTGGCTGATTGCTACACTGCTACTATGTTTAGTAGCATTCCAGAATCTTCTAGCAACCCAAGGACATTTAACAGAGAAAAAACCCGTATTTTCTGTATTGAAATGAACTTTGGAGTAAAGTACTTCTCGCATACTTTGCATCTTCTCTTTCGTTGTTCAGGTCGCTGTATAGTTCAAGCTTGTGGGTTACAGAATAGTTTAGGAAACGAATATAGCGTTCAATCTGCAAGACTTATCAGAATGGTTTATGAAAATCAGATATTGACTAGAAGTTATGTATTAATCGGGTAGTGAAAAGAGATAAGGTGAAGATAATTGTCACTTAATAGGACACAAGAACAAAGTAATTAGAAGGTGTCATAATGGTGAATTAATAGTGATGAAAATAATTGGAAAGGAGTACAAATAATCTTTTTTTTCTAAAAAGCGAACAAACAATCGATTATGGAAGATTGAAAGGTAGGTCAAGATCATGGAAGAATGAAGGACTGAACAAACTGTTTCTTATATGCAAAGGTTAGGCTTAAACTGGTGAATAGCTGTGAGCCAGTCAGCAACAACGTAGGACTTCCTACATACATCAGTTCAATTCGCCATACCACATTAGCACAGAGATGCAGTTGTCGATTCAAATCCCGTAGTGATAGAGGCGGTAAGAGTATAAGCTGTAATCAGGAAAATTAGGGTTTGAAGAAGTTATTTAAAGAGTATAATCCAGTGAAATGAATTTGGAAAGAGAAAAAAAGATACAAGGAGAATTCAGGAGATTGGAGATTGGGAGAACACAAAGAGTGGATGCACTGCATCAACAGGCGGCCTGCTTGAATATCTGGGCTACCTGCTCCTCCGATCTAGATATTTCATCAAGTTATCTGTCTTGTTGTTTGTTTTAGCACATCATTATGTCTATTGTGCTCACAATCTATTCAGGCAAATAGACATTTTCAGAAGGGCGGTTTCAGAAATTTCACTGATTGAGATCATGAGCCGATTGAATCTAGACCACCATGGAGAATCTGGGAGCACTGGACGGCTGTTTCATCCTAGTATGGGACTCCTCAGCAGTGCGCATCCACGATATATGATAGCTTAACTGAATGGATTGTTTAGTTTTCATACACTGATGATCCATAGCATTGTGAAAAATCTTAATGTTTATGCATAAACCGTATTGGTTTCATACTTTAGGATAACTGTTTATTTCCTAGTTCTATTTTATCATTATCATATATGATAATCAGTTAAGGGTAAATATAGTTCTAACAATTTCTCGTATTGAAGGAATATTGGTGAATCTCAGTCTCTGAGATTACGAATCATGATGTTTCAAACATACTGGGTTTATATACCAACCGAA